TAGAAATGCAGAATCTCAGACCCCATTCCAGACTTACTGAATCAGAATCTACATTCTAACGATATCCCCATGTAATCTTCACATTAAAGTTTGAGAAGCAATGATTTGAGCACTTTCCTTCCTCTAAGTTCCAATTAAGTAAAGCTATACATCACTATCTTACTGCCGTTCCTCTTGCCTTTTTCCCATCACCCTTAACCTTTCTTCCTCTAGGCAGAGTTATACACTCCTTCTTTTTGGAATATTTTTAGATGTGCCTATCATCTCAATTATTTGTGTCTGCTTTCCCCTATCACATTATAATTTGATTTCCTGATTCACCTTTGATTCTTCAGCACTTAACAGTCTACCTGGCACAAAGGTACTCAATAAATGAATTCTATTTTTACTTCTCGAGAAATCACTAACAATAAAAGAAAAATTTATGACTAGCTACTTAAGACACTTATATAGGATGAAACCCAATTACTGCTTAACTATTTGGGTTGGGAGTGGTAGGGGAGGAGAGATTGGAATACAAAGATTCCTTCACTGATTTTCCTAATACAGCATTCAACTCAAATGTCCTATTCTTAGCTCTTAATTTCCAATTATTAACATGTCATTACATTATTGAGACATTAATTCTGTGCCTAACACATTTACACTGCCCGACTTTGTAAAGGTTAGGTAAAAGAGCAACATTAGAATAAATCATCTCATTTCACCTACTAACATATAATTTTATTTTTGTATATTTCCTTTGAATCATTTCATATTTCAAATGTAATAATTTTTATTTGGATAGATGTGTAATTACATTTTTTATCTGATAACTCACTCTTCATTGTTATTTTTCCAGATGGTAGCCTAACATTCCTCTGATTAGAGACAATATAATTTAATTATTCTCTGGCTGTTAGAGCTTGTTGTCATGATGTTATTTCTATTATGGACATTCTTAAAATAATCATTTCATGCATGCATTTTTCCTATTTTTAAAAAAGTTTAGTCTTAGGATTAATTCTAAGGAATAGAATTATATCATGAAAAACAAAAAACAAACAGAACATAACCTGTATTTCCCCATTATTTTTTTATTCTTTTGTTCCTAAGCATAGGCAATTGTTCCTTGTCCCTAGTACTTTCATTTTTTTTTCTTTAACCTTTACTGTAGAAAATTTTCCAAAAAAAGGAAAATAGGATAATGAACTATCACTCAGCATCAAAAATTATAAATTAGTAACCAATCTTGTTTCAACTCTCCCCACCGTTTTTTGCTAAGAGTATTTTAAAGCAAGTCCCTGACATATCATGTACACATATGTCAACTTCAATATCTCACAAACTGTGTGTGTTTATATAATAACATGCATTATTACATATAACAAAATTAACAATTCATTAATAGCCAACATCCAATCCATGTTCAAATTTCTCTGTCTCAAGAACTGTGCTTGTGTTGGGTGTGTGAGTGTGTGGGTATACAGCTGAGTTCAAATCAGGATCCGAAAAGGCCCACATACTGCATTTGCATGATAAAAAGTAACATTTTTACATGGTTATAACTGTACCATACTTAGAAGTAAAACATTTTTGTCCTTTTACATCACTTAACATTCTTTGATAAATGTTTCCATCCTTATATAAACTTAAGATATTTTTGAAAGCTGTATATTCCACTATGTTAACCATATCCCTATTATGCTCTTCAAGTTGTTTCCAATTTTTTTATTAACAAAACATATTAAGTATTTCATATTTAGGATTAGACTAGGTTCTTTTAAATGGATTTATTGGATCCGAATACAGAGTAAACATTTAGTATTTTATTGTGAGCAAGTATACCAATAGGTTCTTTTCCCCCCTCCATGGTCTTATTTAAAAAATACGTACTTTAAAGGTCTTGTAATATAATGCACAATACTTCCCAATAGGTTGTGTCAATTCTTAATAGTACCTCAAATATATGAGAGTCCTATTTTAACTACATTCTTACAATAATTGATGTTTATACTGTTTAAATTTATTAATGTAACCAAAGTCGTCTGACACATAAGCAGTCACTGAATACACCTAATGTTTCTAACTCAGACAGTTTTTTAACATTTAAGTCTTTAATTCACTTGGAATGTATTTTAATGTTTATCCATCTTAAATTTGTTTTAAAATGCTGTGTAAGGCAGAGATCTCATTTTATCTTTTCCCAAAAGTCATTATTTAATGCCACTAATTATAGAAGAAACTGAGTTGGTTAAAGCATGCTCTCTGAGCCAGACTGCTTGGATTTGAATCCTGGCTCTACCACTACTCACCTGTGATCTGGGGAAAGTTAGACATGGAGAAAAATAATGCTTGCTTTACAGGGTTGTAAAGATTAAAACAAACAAATATAAAGCCCTCCAACCAGTACTAACATATAAGAAATGCTTCCGAAGAATTGCTTATTGTTATTATTTATTGACTAAGCCATCCTTTTCACACTGATAGGAAATACCATCATATTGTATAATAAACCCTTTGGTCTGTCTCTATGCCTTTTATATAATTTCCTTGTTCTGGTTTCCATTAGCACCACAATATTTTAATTATTACAGCTTTACTAGAGGCCTGGTGCACAAAAATTTGTGCACTGGAGGGGGGGGGGGGCTCAGCCCGGCCTGTGCCCTCTCGCAGTCTGGGACCCCTTGGGGGATGACCACCTGCTGGCTTAGGCCTGCTCCCCGGGGGATTGGGCCTAAGCTGGCAATCAGACATCCCTCTGGCAGCCCGGCAGCCCTCCGGGGATGTCCACTTGCCAGCAGGGAGCAGACCTAAGCCACAGTCGGACATCCTTAGCGCTGCTGAGGAGGCAGGAGAGGCTCCCACCACCACCGCTGTACTGGCAGCCATCAGCCTGGCTTGTGGCTGAGCAGAGCTCCCCCATGTGGGAGCGCAATGGCCACCAGAGGGCAGATCCTGCATTGAGTGTCTGCCCCCTGGTGGTCAGTATGTGTCATAGTGACCAGTCATTCCCAGTTTTTCTGCTGTTAGGGTCAGTTTGCATATTACCCTTTTACTATATAGGATAGAGGCCTGGTGCATGGGTGGGGGCCGGCTGGCTGGTTTGCCCTGAAGGGTGTCCCGGATCAGGGTGGTGGTCCCGCTTGGGTGCCTGGCCAGCCTGGGTGAGGGGCTGATGGCTGTTTGCAGCTGGTCACACCCCCTTCAGGGTGGGGGTCCCCACTGGGGTGCCTGGCCAGTCTGGGTGAGGGGCTGAGGGCCGTTTTCAGACTAGCCTGTGACTGAAGCTCCCAGCCTCTCCTTTTTTTTATTTTTTTTATTCTGGGATTTATTTACCTTCTATAATTGAAACTCTGTTGCCTTCACTGGCACTCCCAGCTCTGAGGCCACGGCCTGCTGAAAGCAGGTAACGGGTTTGTTTAGCTTCTATAATTGAAACTTTGTTGCTTTTGGAGCTGTTGCTTTTGGAGCTTAGAGCCGGGCCGCAGCAGGCGGGGAACCTTGGCTTCCTCCATCACTGGAGCAAGCAAGCTTCCTGCTCGCTTCAGCTGCATGGCTTCCAGCCGCCATCTTTGTTGGCAGTTAATTTGCATATCTCGCTGATTAGCCCATGGGAAGCGTAGTGGAGGTAGGGTTAATTACCCTTTTTGTCTTTTATTAAATAGGATAATACATTTTGTTATCTAACACCTCCTTATTAATCTTTTAAAATTTTTACTGGCTATTCAATACTTTCTCTCTGAGATAAACTTCAGAAAAACTTTCAAAAGAAGAATACCTCTGTAATTCTGTTTAGAACTACATATAAATTGATTTGGGGGGAAAATGACATCTTAAGTTAAAACTGTCTTGACAGGAATGGGGTATTTCTCTTCATAATAGGCACGTACTCATGTTCCTCAGTAAACTCTTGATGGTTTCCTCAGGAGGTCCTTGTTAAGTTTAATCCTAGAAGTGTTATATTTTCATTGTCAGTGTGTCTAGGATAAAATTCCTTTACATAGCCTTACTCATTATTACTGGTATTTGTAAAAGCTACCAGGTTTTAGAAATTTATTTTAAAATCTACTACCTTCCAAACTTCAATTCCAACAGGCATTCAGTTGGTTCTTGAGTTTTTGAAGTAAATGGTTATTTTCCCTGGAAATAAATTTCTTTTAGAAGTAAAACATTTTATATGACTTTTTGATATTGAGATTTTAGCTTTGCAGATAGTAAAAACATACTGATTTTTTTCTGATTACTTGCAAGCATAGACAATGTTTCCACCCCCATTCAGAGTACTTACAATATTTCATTCTAATTTTTCAAGTTTTATAATTTTATTTATTTAAAATTCTTGAACCAGCTAGAATTTATTCTGATACATGGGGTGAAATGATTGTGCAAAGTTTTTCCCAAAAGACTAACAATACTCTTCAATGAATAGGTCTCCATTTTCTCTTCTCATATAATAAAGTATGAGCTGTTAGTTGGCTTCATGGATCTACTTCCCTAAATGTAAGCCAAATAGAATCTAAACTATTACAGGTTTCTGCCATATTTCCGTATGTGGTTGTGCCAGACTTTCTCAATCCTTTTCCAGCAATTCCTTTTCTATTTCCTCATTTATTTTTCCCAATGGGCTTCACAGTTATTTGGTTAAGTTAAACAATTTGTATTAGAACTCCAAGTTACATTGCATTAAACATTTAAACCAACAGGGAGAACTGATATGATATCCTTATTAATCTTACTATCCAGGAATGCTATTTATCCATATTTATTTAAATTCCCTTTAATATTTATCAATAATATTTCATAATTTTCTTTCAATAAGTACCACATTTCTTGTTAGGATTACTCCCATGTATTTTCTTGTGTGTATGTGTGTGTCTAATTTGTGAAAAGTAAATATTAAAAATTAAGAATTTATATTTATTCCTTTGTTAAATTTTATTTCCATTGAAAGCAAAAGTAATAAGCATATGAGAGATATAAAAGATATATAGAAAGTACAAGATTTGTAAGTAACATACCAGGGGATGGAGATATGATACAGTCTCCTAGGAATTTATTTTCAGCAAGATCTCCTTTTATTTCAGTCGTTTTCAACAATGTTTCAAAGTGAAAATGAAGAGGCACATCTGAAAAATAACGTTTTTAAAAAAACTATCTTTAGTGAACATCACTCATACAGGTTCAGTAAAATTGCTTTCTTTCTATGACTAGCACAAAGCCTTAGAAAAATAAGCAAAGGTTTAAAAAGTGACAACTTTCAGAAGTAGCAGAATACTCTTTCAAAACAAATTATAGTAGTATTTTGGAATTACTGGTTATATGTCTTAAACAAATGCTAATGATGAACAACTAAAATAGGACATAAAATGAACAAAATTATAAATATTCACAGATGAGAACAAATGTATCTGAAAGTCTTTAATAAAACACAGCCAAACCTGACTGATTCTTTTTAAGATCATTCCACTCCACCCCCACAACCTTTGCATTTCATTACTTGAAGGAAAAACCACTATAAATCATATGCAATCTTTTATGAAGAAGTCAACTTTTACATTACTTAGTTTACTAGTATTATGAATCACAAAATGAATCTTTTACAGAGATTAAAACCTATTGATTCCTTTTATAGATTCATTTTATTTATAGGATTAGATTTTACCATAGAAAATATTCAGTTACTCAGAAATTTTGTTATAAAGAGGCTTACCTGATGGCAATGATAGAACAGAATGGAAAGAAGAGTCTAACTCTGATACATGTTCGCTTAATATTTGAGACTTTGAATTGTGTTCACAGCTACTCCAAGTTGAAGCTGACTGCAGGCAAGGCATTTGTGCAGTATTTAAAAATGTTTCTTTTGAAGGCAAAGTCTGCAAGGGAAAAAAAATAATTTAAAGACTTCATTTTTTTTTTCTTGAAAACTGAACCAGAGAGAACATAACAGTTATAATCGAGTATCTGAGTAACAGAGGAAGAAGTCCTGGCTTACGTCACCATGGAGAAAGACCTTTATTTGTGTGGTTTTTTTCCTGTTTATTGACTTTATTGGGAGAAAGACCTTTAAAATGATGTAGAGAGAAATTACTTAAGGCCATGAATGTGATGAGATTTGACTAGTCCATTTTCAGTTTTTCAAAATGAAGAAAGAGCATTGTCTATGAAAAATGGGTCTTTCTTCCATCTTATAAAATCTCAGAAATGAGTTTGAGAAAGTTTGGGTGAAAAGAAAATGGTTACAATCCATTTACAGGAAGAATTCTGATGGTGAGCAGGGACTATATTAAGATTAAGAACTGAGTATATGCTTCCTCCTTGCAACCTATTACAACTGATGAATGAAACTGGAGTCTCTGCCTTAAATTCTAGTAAAAGACAATATTTACACTGGAAAAACAGTGAAGTACTAAGAGTATTTTACATGTTTAAGTAAAATTTATTTAAAATAAAACACTTAAAAAGATATGCGGGAAACATGCAATATGTTACAAGAATTTCAATTTCTTGAGATAAAGAGTTGAGTCCAGGAATCTCAAGAAAACCATGTTACTAAATCAAAAAAGTTATGTTGCTACATTAAGAAATATAGGATGGGGCAAAAATAGGTTTATAGTTTTGAGTATACAAAATAGTTTATTCTTGTATTATTTATTATTATATTTCCCATATGAACAACTATAAACACACTTTTGCCCCATCCTGGACATATTTGGGTTAAATCCTGAATTTTAAAATTATTTTTATGGTTATAAAATTACTATATAACCAATGGGGAAAATCTATAAAATAGAGAAAATATTTTAAAAATTAATAAAGGTCACTTGTGTTCTTTTCCTCACTCTTACCTATATTTTTGACAATAACATTAGGGCTCATTTTGTTTTTCAAGTAACTAATATTTAAAATGCTTATAATAACTGAGACCCTTAGATGCTATTTTAAAACATTTTTTATTAGGTTTGAACTTTCTTGAGTTTGAACTTCCTGGCCCACTGACATTTTCTCTTGTATTCCCACAGCAACTGGGCATATCTTACCATAGCAATCAGCTAGATTTCCCCTGGACCATTAGCTCCATGAAAGTGAGACTGTAATATTTAATTTTGTATTCCCAGAACCTGACACCATCCCTGACCTATGGTTGAAACTTGAATGCTGACCAACTGCATTTTATCCTATTTGATTAAAAAATATTAGAAGTGAATAAAACTTCAAATGTGTGTATGTCTGAGACTATTTCATTGGAGAAAATCAGTACCTGTTAATATATGCTAAAATGTATTACATAATGACTTCTGTTTACATTCCATTTGGCCATGACTTAAATCAGATAGTCACACCTACCTGCAAGGGAGGCTAGGAAATGCAATCATTTTTCTGGGTGGTCTAGTACATTGGATACATGTGGATACATGAATAAGGTGAGTCATTTCCAAGAATTATTCTAATTATATAATATGTATAAACTTACGGGAACAGTTGCTGTTTCTAGCCTTACAAGATGCATTTGTACTTTTGATTAATTAAAATTATTTGCTCTTTTATGATGTAGCTCAGAAAGGTATAAGGAACATTTATTTGAAATTTCAAAGAAAAAATGTGCTAACCTCCCTTTTTCCATATATGGCTAGAGCATTATAAATAAAAATTAATAAAATCTGAATATTTACCATATAATTAGTTTTCTCTTGAATTTTTTCCAAATCCAGGAAACCCATTAGCCAATTTGAAACTATCCTAAATAATTATGGAGACAAGTGAGGGGCATCTAGGAAAAGGCCTTTTTTTCCCCCTGCAGAGAAAGTGAAGCCCAGGAGGCTGAAAAGGAATAGATGGAGAAATAAGAGAAAAACCAGGAGATTCTCGCCAATAAAAATGCAAATGTCTAGAGGATGTGATCAACAATACCATATGCTGCATAAAATTCAAGTAAAATCCTGAAAAATATCCACTAAATTTTTTAACTTTAACAATGAAACATTTCATATATGCAAAAGAAAATAGGAAAGGCATTAAATAACTTTTAAAAAATCCCTATACTCACCATCCTACTTTAAGAAATAGAACAGTATCAATAACTTTGATGCCTTTTGCCTCTTACACCACCCACACAAGCCTGTAAAAGACAATGCTACTTTCCTCCTGATAAATGCGCTGTCACACTGTTCAAAACTCCTGATATTTTGCTGGGCACATTTGCTAAGCTTCCTTGCACCTAAAAATTACTAAATTCTAGCCAGAAGACCATGAAGAGAAGTCACGTGCAGTTCAGGAAGTGATCATCATTCTCCCCTTGCTACTTGTAACAGAGCTGTGGTGGGAGCCACTGTAACCATGTGGAGGAGGGTAATGCTCAAAACATCAAATAGGCAGGAGAGCCTGGCTCCTAGGTAACCACAGGATTAGCATGGCTGTCATGTCTAGAACATTTTCAATCTGTTACAAGACAAAGAAATAAACTTGTATCTTGTTTATGTCACTATGTGGGGTTTTGTCAAATGCAGCTAAACCTGTATCTTTCACTAATACAGTGTGCCTCCTTAATCATATTTTTCTTTCCACTTACAGGAGTAACTGCTATCCTGAATTTTATCACTTCTTTGATTTTCTTTATAGCTTTTCTAAATAAGTCTATGTAATCCTATATAATTTACTACTTAAACCTATGGTTTAAAATGTATATAGACAGAATGTTAATTATATTTTCCTGCTTTATTCCTCAAAATTATGTGTATTCAATTCTCATTCTGTTTATAAATATATACAGTTTCTAGTTTTTTTATTATTATGGAGAACACTAGTGTGAATATCATTATTACAGGGATGGGCAAAAGTAGGTCTACAGTTTATATGTAAATAATACAATAATAAATAAATATTAATTACTTGCATAGCCACAACCATAAGCCTACGTTTGTCCACTCCTGTGTTTGTGTCCTGACACGTGGGTGTAAGAATTTCTTTGGAGTACACTGATAGACATGGAATTACTAGGTTATACAAATACATGAACGCACACAATCAACTTGACTAGATAATTTTTTTTTTACAAAGTAGTTGTAACTGACACTCCAACAGAGCAGACCTTAGTTCCCACTGCTTCAGATTTATGCCAACATAAGTCTTATTTCTGCCAATCTCAGAGCATGCAAATAGTATCTCATGGTTAAAATCTGTATTGCCGTTTACTATTAGAGTTGAGCACCCTTTCAGATCTATAGTTGGTCATTCACTTTTCCTTTGGGGAAATACATGTTTTGATGATTTTTTTTATTGGGATGTCTTTTACTTATTGATTTTTAAGTTCACTTTACACACTCTGGAAAGTTACAAATCATTTTGTGTTCTGTATGTCACTCCCTGGCTGAGCTTCTTTTCACTTTCTTTGTCGTACTTTTTGATGAAGAGACCTTCTTAACTTAAATGTTTCCTTTTATAAATATTGATAACAGTGGTGCCAGGACCATTCAATGAGGGAAAATAGTCTTAACAAATGGTGCTGGGACAACTGGATATTCACAATTAGGAAACAGAAAAATGAAGTTGAACTCTTACCTAACACCATAAATAAAAATTAACTCAAAATGAATCAGCGACTTAAGTAAAAGAGCTTACAGCCATACATATCTTAGTAGAAAACAGAGGCAAATCTTCACTATCTTGAATTAAGCAATGGAGTCTTAGTTATGACACCAAAAGCATACACACACACAAAATAATCGACAATTGGACTTCATCAAAATTAAAAACTTGTGCATCAAAAACATCAGAATCTAAAAAGAAAACCTAAAGGAATGGGTTTTTCTACATATCAAGAATATATAAAGAACTCATCTCAATAAAAGGCAAACAACCCAATTAAAAAATAAGCAAAGAAAAAATAAGCAAAGGACTTAAACAGACATTTCTCCAAAGAAGATATACAAATGGCCAACAAGCACATGAAAATATGCTTAGTATCAACGGTCATTAGGGAAATGCAAATCAAAACCACAATGTGGTACCACATCACACCCACTAGGATGTCTACAAAAATAAAAGCCCAGGAAATAACAAATGTTGCTAAGGAATAACAAGTGTTATAGAAATTTTGGGAACCTCATACACTGCTGATGGGAATTTAAAATATTTAACTGGTGTGGAAAACAGTTTAGTGATTCCTCAAAAAAGTTAAACAGAATTACCATATGACACCCCAATTCCACTACTCAGTAGTATGTGTGAAATTTGCCCCCATATTTTAACATAAATAGTAACATGAACTGTTCCATGTCTTGGCTTTTTTCCCTAGTAAATGATACATCTTACACACCTTTTCGCATTAGTTTGTATAGAGCTCCCTAATTCTTTTTTATAGATTCCAGTGTATGGATACTCGAATGTATTCAACCAGTTCCTATTGATGAACATTTGGGTTATTTATAGTTTTTGCTTTTACAAGAAATGTTGCAATTATTTTATATCATATATCAATTCACATTTAAAAAGTAACTAATTGAGGTGAAATTCACGTTACATAAAATTAACCACTTTAAAGTTAACAATCCAGTGACCTTTAGTCAATTTACAATGTTGTGCAACCATCATGTCTATCTAGTTCAAAAAATGTTTTATCACTCCAAAGTAAAACTCCTTACCCAATAAGCAATTTCTTGCTACTACCTCACATCCCCAGCCCCTGGCAACCACCAATCTCTCATTATGGATTCATCTATTCTGAATTATTTCTTATAAGTGGAATTATACAATATGTGACCTTCTATGTCTGACCTTTTTCACTTAGCACAATGTCTCTGAGGTTCATCCAGACTGTAACATGTATTAGTACTTCATTCTTTTATGGCTGAATAATATTCCAATGTATGTATATACC